ACTGAATAAGAAGAACGACTGAGAAGTGTGTTATTTGATTATAAGAAAAAAACGTCGTGACACGACGCGGTAAAAAAAAAACACCCCACACTAACGACTGTGAGAGGAAGGGAGAAAAGGGGGGGGAGGGGGGGGGGGGGGGGGGGTTAATAGAGAGAGAGGGGCTAATTTAATTTAGTCGTGAAGTGGGCTGCCAGTACTGCTTTTCCAAACAAAGAGGAGATGGGATCAATTCCTCATAAAGAACTACTGTTCTCAGAAAAAAAAAAACAAGGTCATGCAACTGAAGTACAAAAGCAAATCTGAACTTCCAGCACTTGCATAAAACATTACACGTCAGTTTATTTATAGTAGCTAAGGCTTCGCAAGTACTGAAAGTTCTTATTAGCTTGTATCTTTTCTTGTGGATTTCCCCCTCCATTTTTTTTTTTGCAGGGGGTGGGGGGGAGGGGGGGGGGTTGAGGGAAATAAGATTATGTTACCGTACTTAGTCCACCATAAAGTAGATTATGAATGTAACTAATCTTCCTTTAAACCATCGTACTTGTAGTCTGCTACGCAGTCGTTTTAAGTGCACTGAAAACGGCTGTGTTGTTGACTATTGTACTTGTTAATCAGATTTATTCTTGATGCAGAGCAGTGGAATATGCATTGACACCATCTCCAGATACAGCATGTGATTCCAACTGTAACTGTAGTGCTTGGTGTACTTTTAAGTTTAAAACGGTTACGCCGTCAACTGCATGTATGATAATTTCTGTACATTGCTTGTTTTACCAGGATGATATAAAATGATCCTATGTAAACCTTAATTAGCCCGAGTAATGTTCTTAATACATGTATTCTAATAATTTTTTGCTTCCACATTCTTAGAAAAACGTTATAAAAATCGATGTATAGTGCAAGGCTAAAGTGTGTTATACTTTTTCTTTTTATGTCTCCAGTGCAATTTAGCCGAAAACTGACATATCAGAAGCTTCAAAGAAGGCGTGTAGCTGTAATTTAAAGGACAGCAATGCTGGCCCACCACAGCTGGCTGTTGGTCTTCCATCCATAAAAGATGTTACAACAACATTGAAACAACCTGATCTACCCGTTGATGTTCTACTGTTAACCGTTAAGGACTGTGAGTTCTTATCCTGTTACAATGAGCTAAAAGATCGTTACAGATATTATTACAAGGATGTTGGATACGTTTACTTCAACAACGTTCAAAGTCATGAAGAGAAAGTAAAAGTTGCTCTGCTAAGATGCAGTGAAGGTTCCATTGGTCCAAGCAGCTCTCTGATTACGGCTAAGGATGCCGCCCTTATTTTACAACCCAAGGCCGTGATATCTGTTGGAGCATGCAGTGGTCTCAATCCTGATAAAACTAAGTTAGGAGACGTTGTTGTATCAGCCAAACTAACAACATATGCATCCAAAGTGGTGACAAGCGACCAAGAGCAGTCAGCTGGCATGAGTAGTCACGTGAGTAGGCTTTTCTCAAAAATAATCTCGAACTGCGCTAATGGATGGCAGGCACCTTTAAAGAACCCAGAAGATCGTCAGGTCAAAGTTCACTGCAATGGCGAGTTCTTAAGTGGCCCAGAGGAGATCAGAGCTCAATGGCGTCGAAAGGAACTTGCCGACCGCCACCCCCTCGCGGCAGTAGTAGAGATGGAGGGCGAAGGTGAGTGCATGTCACGTTAGCTTTGAACAATAGCGTTCTTATACAGCTATCTCAATTAAGTTTGTCGTATAAAGGCTTCAAGCCTACGCCTAGGCTGCGAGTAAGCTCTCCATTTAGGGGATATCGTGAAAAGTAGACGCGTGAGAGGCACGCGCGAGAAAAGGGGGCGGCCCCTCGCGAGTCGCTTCGCTCGCCCAAATAGGAGAGCTTGCTCGTACGTAGGCTAGCCTACGCCACAAGGACACAAGGTTTTGTTGGTAGTTTTAGATCCTTCCGTTGTAATTTGGTCATAAAGGTGCGACTAACAGTACCATAGAGTGCTTTAAAAAGGCGCAGACGTTTACCTTCATGGCTGGGATTGATTAATATTTCAGTATAAAATACCCTGGAGTCCAGTTTTGAGTTCGTTATGTCCGCTGAATAAAAGAAGTGGAGACGCAATTTTTACAGGGTTAGCCTCCACCAGAAGTAATTATATTCACAAATTCCAACGAGAAGTACCTGTTTATTACTCTGTTTATTGTGTATTCTCATATTTACACTCACTTGCCGAAATTTGTGAATATTTTACTTTATGCCGAGGCCAACGCTGCTTGAATGTGTCGTTAATGTTTGTAAGTTAGCGGTAATTTTTAATTCGAAAAATGACTTTTAGCCGTTTTGCTTTGCAGTCTCAACAGGTAGGCTTTTTGACACCTGTTGATGTTGTGGGATACATGCATAACGAAAAGATTTTGAAAGAGGATTGCAGGCGCCATTTTTTTAAGAATGAAGGGAGGATGCGCGCGTACGACCGGAGAAAAGGCGTGAAGGCCGTCCTCTTCCCGGCCTTCCCGTGTTTTTTTCTCGCGTGCTCTAAACAAAACGGACCAAAAAAACTATCTGGCGCCTGGCACGTAGGCTATTGAAAGAGCGACGAAAATATTTATTTTGAATAAGCACATCGTAATTACTTTAAGTATTAGCGGTTGGATTTATTGGATATTGGATTTTTAGGTGTTTACACACTTGACTGCAATAACTGATATACACTTGGCGCCATTTTCCCGCAACAGTTATAGAGTAAAATTAAACAGGAGGCGCACATGTAATCGCTAAAAAAAGGGGGAACATTTGTCTCTGTTGTTTTAAGTCTGATTTGGGATAGTCTGAAGACCTTCGACACAAACAGCTTTTGATGAAAAGTTCGGAGCTTTATAGCTCCAAACTTGCATATACCTTAACGGAACTTCAACGGAATTTTCGCTTATAACAATAACGTTATTGAATAAAACATATTCATTATAAGAAAGATTGCAGTTAGCAAATCAAAAGAAACGACGTGAAAGTCATAATCTGTCGTACTTGGCTGTCGTCGGGGTCTTGCATCTCTTGATTTGGCGTTTTCTTGTCTCTGATTGGTTTACTTCCAGGTTGTAATCAGAAAGACATTTTTGTGAAAGTTAGTAAAATCGTCAAAAATTATTGGAAAGTAAAGATTTACACGTGCGTTTATACGCAAGGCAATTAATTTTTTAGTTTCTTTAATTCGCAGGAGTTGATTTCCTAAAAGAATATACTTCCTAATTGTATTCCATTTTTCAGGTGTTTTTACAGCTGCATTTGATTCTCAACTCGAGTGGCTCATTGTTAAAGGAATAGCTGATTTTGCGGATGGTGAGCAAGCGACTGCAGAAAGTTGGGATGCTTTTGCTAGTGTGATGGCAGCATCTCTTGTCTCACACATTTTAAGTGATCCTTGTGTTTTCAGCACTTGGCCTCATTACTCAGGTATAAATTCTTGTCAGTTTGGTGTGTGATGATTAGGCGCAGGGGAAACAGACCGAATTTGTCGTCAGTAAAAGAAGTCTTGAATGTGTATTGAGTGAGACAGTGCGAAAGCTCAGATCCGAGATCAGAAGCCTCGTCAATATTTTTCTTCCGTTTTGATATTCCATCTTCATTGCCAGGCAGCGTGAAATTAAGAGTTAAAAAGAAGCACTTGTGAGGGTTGGGGTCGTTACCGCAACTTTTAGACGCTCAACTTTACCTCTAGCACTTTCAGTTGAGAGTTACACAAACTTTAAGAAAATGTGCGTTGTTTCTGGTCAAAAATTCAGATTATACATTCTTTCCTTAGCTGTAAATTGCATACACAATTTTGTCTTACTAAGAGTAAGAAAAAAAAAGCTAATGATGTCTTTGGCTGATTCTTTCAGTGGACGGTCTCTTAGAGGCTCAGCACGATAGTGCGAGGAAGCGGAAGCTAGCTGAGAACCATGCAGGTAATATATAAACATTCAATTTTCAAAATGTTCTTCTGTATTTAAAGCTGACCTATTCTACTCTTTGCTTCACTTTGATTTTAATGAGTCGCCCCACCAATGCAATCCGGGAAGTCTTTTGCTCGTGGAATCCGGAATTTTGGGCTTTGGATTCTGGAATTTAACTCTTGGATTCCGGAACTCAGTCCCATGAATCCGTAATCCCGCAGTAATTGGAATCCGTAATCCAAGTTCAACTAACAAGGAATCCGGAATCAAAAATGTGGAGTCCAGAATCCACAGCGTGGAATCCAGGATCAAAGACTTTCTTGGATTACCTTATATTACCTTATATAACAATTAATATTACCTATTATTACCTAATATTACCAATTAATATTACCTATTATAATATTATAATATTACCTTATATAACAATTATTAGCTTGTTAGATATAGCTTGCATTTATATTTGTAAATAGGTACTGAAAAACCTTTTTTTTTGGGAGTATTTATTAAAGTTTTAATTTAATTTTTTAATTTATATGGGGCGAAATGAGCAAAACATTCATCATGAGACGCGTACAGCGCCGCTTATGCGCCTGACAGAGTTGACTTTAAGTCAGTTTATTCTTGTGTACGTAATCACAGTCTATTAAAAGAAGGAAATGTGCTAGTAAATCCACCCAACTCAAACGCAAATATGCTGTTGTCGGCCTACAGCTATTTTTGATTAACGTTGCAGCAGGAAAGTCTTTGCGATGAGATCGCAAATAATATGGGTAATTCCATATAAAATTTACCAAATTCTGAAGAAGGTAAAA